TAAGAATACTCAAGTGTTGATCAGACTGTCTGTTGACTAATAAAAGATTATGAATACTGAAGCATAGATTAGTTTGAATACCATAGTGTTTGGCACATGGTAAAATATTGACCAGATTTCAGATGTACAATAGTGTCATTTTTGTAATTTATAAATCATCAATCTTTATATTCTTCACATTTGTAAACATGGTGAATACTGAATAGTAATCAGTTTGTTCGTTACATTCTCAAACACTGCCAGTACTGAATAGCTTTAATGTTAAATTTTGTGTATGTTAAAATGTTAATCCAATTATTACTCTGCAACACTAAACTGCTACTAAAATATTCAGATTATATGTAAACAATAATGTGTATATCATATTATTGTAAGGCACAACCAAATTCACTTGATTTAATGTGATATATAACCATAAAGCTTTATATCAAATTATCACATATAAAATATGGCACTGTGTATACATATATAAATTTTTTAACAATAACATATTAATTCAATTGGAATCACACTTAAAATGATTTTGCATAGATAATAGTCCTACTAGTAATCAAATTTAAATCCAAAAAAATCAACTTATATGAAAAAAGAACCAATGTTATTTGTTATTTCATGTTATATAATAAGGAAACACAAAATGCTTTAATTAAATAACAATGAGAGAAAAATAGCACCATTATTGCACCCATTACCAATGTTTTTATATTATATCAAATAAATAGAGTTGCATACTGTACATAAACATACAGTGACAAATCAATTGCCATGGGATACTTGCACCACTTAAAACATAAACCATTTAAGTAAACAGTAAAGAGATACTTATACATTAAAAGCTTAAAACATTAAAGTGAAACAGAATAAATCATTTCTTTAAATCTTTTTTTTTTCAAAACGCTTTTATATACCTTTTCTATGATTTACCCTTAAAACAGAACTAACAGTTCATTTATGGTCCCTAATCTTGCTCACCTGGGTGACTGGTAATCTTGATCAAATAAATGTAATGACAAAAAGTTAAAATCTAATCTAAACACAGTGACCTTGACCCAAATGACCTTAAACATCATCCAAAGGTAGAGGTCCATTTAAGATACCTGAATGCCAGTATTGCAACAACTTTGAACACTTTAAATTATTCAAACACTTAGCCCTGCAGTCTCTTATTAGAAGATTAAAAGTTTTGACAAATAAGCTGATGCCTCCTGAATTAAGATCAATTTTACTTGATTCTTAGTTGACCAAGCTTTGTCAACTAGACAATGTTTTATGCTCTAGATCTAGCAGTTTTGGAAAATATTTTTTTTGTGTGGACAATTTCACTTTCAAAATATATTTTTACTTTCTGTGACCAATGTACAGTTGATTCTGAGAATGTCATTTGAAACAAAAGTGAGAACTTAAAAACTAATTCAAAATTTGATCGTTAAGCCAAAACGAAAGCCAAAAAAACCCAAAAAACAAGTATCATTTCAAATTAGGAAATACTAATAATTCAATGTTATAACAGATCAATAATTAATATTAATATCAACAAAAAATAAATATCACATGATTTTTTGGTCAATAAATAGTACATTATACACATGATTCTTTTGGTTCAATAAATCATACATGTATAACTTAACTCTTAACCTACTGGAACTGTAAGTGATTAGCGCCTGCTACCCAGTAAAGAACCAGTCCTGACTGCTCATTTATGATGTCTGACCAGGCTCTATACTGTTGGTAGCTCAAATTTTGTTTTTTGCTAATGAAATCCCTTAAAACTTAAATGGACTGATCCAAATTCAAAGCTGGACAAGTCCATTATAGGAATACAGCAGGTTAAAGGTTAAGATACATGAGACCAATTTTTATACAAATGTAAACAGATTTTTACAATGTTGGGGAAAAAGATAAAATACTCACTAAACAATTTAACAAAATCTCTTTTTTTATCTCTTTATTTATCCCCCCCCCTTTTTTTGTGAGGAAAGGATTAAACTTGAAGAGTGATGCAGACAGCACCTCATTGTAGCAGTCTTTTTTTCGCAGTCTTTTTTCCAGCTATTTAGAGATCATATGTGGAGAAAAAAATCACTTTTAAAGGCCCATTAAGTCTAAAAAACACTACTGTATAATTTTTACTTTTTTCAAATTTAAAGCTTTTTATTTTTAATGTTATGTTACAGTTTTTCAAAAAAAATTATCATTGGCAATAATACTTAGCCATATTATGCTTTGGCAATAACATTTATAGTGATTGAGTATTTTGTATTGAAGTCAAAATATAAGTTTGTTTACATTTCGCTTCCTTTATCACAAATTATATCACATTCAGGGCTATTTTCTTCATGTGATAAGAATCTGACAACATGGTATGACAACATTTTAAAGAAAATATTTGCTCTTTCCTACAGAAAATAATTTATTTCAGAGGCCTAATGTACCTTTAATAAAATCGAACACAATCTTTTAACATGTACAAAAATGTAAATAAAGGAGTAATAATACAATCAAAAATGAATAATGTGATCAAAAAGCTAAACTGAGCCAAATTAACAGACCTACTTCCACAAATTATGTACACCTCATTCAAGTAAAAACCATTTATAAAATTTTAAAAATTAAAACTTAACATTTTTTTAACTTCTTTTTATTTTTTTTAGAAACATTCATAGTTTTCTCAACCACACATAGGTCATCATAACATTAGATTTCATCCCTAATCATAGAAAATGTATATATATGTATATGTAAATTGCAGTTTTAAAATTGCAAGAAATTAAAGGAGCTCACTTACTCTATAGTATATTAAAGAATTTTACAATCTAAAAAAAAATTTTTTTTTTTTTTTGCCCCCCCCCAACCCAACATCACAACAACCCAATAAACAACCATTAAAGTATACTATTCAATATATTTATCAAGGGAATGCATAATTTGTAAATGAAAAATTGAAATACAAATAATACAGTATTACTATTTTTGCTTTTTATACACTCAAAATTGAAGAAAAAAAAGTTCTTTAAACCAAAACTGCAAAACAATCAAATATGAATAAAATTTGTAGTTTTTTCTAGCATACATGATTTTATAACTGACAGAGAAAAATTATTTGAAAAAGCACTTTATCACAGACTATAAATTCAATCTCCAATTACAAGTATAATTACCTTTCAACAAATCTAATTATCCAAGTACTTACAACCATTTTCATCAAAATACAAAATGTGCAAAATAATATTAAAGTTTTTCTTTTATGGGACAATAAAGTGTGTTAAAATATACCAAATTTTGTTCTTTACTTATGGAACATATTTCTAAAAACAAGAACCAGTTTTGAACCCGTGATGCCTCCCCGAATTGGTTTGAACCCCACAGTAAGTTATACCCTCTTGTAGTTGTAAAAAATGAAACAAAGGGCAAATAACTCCAAAATAATAAGGCCCAAGACAGAGTTTATGGTTTTCTTTTGCAACTGCCTTCCTCCTTAATGGAGATCTTAACCTACAAATTTTCAGTTTGATATCTCTTAGTAGGTTTTCTCTAAGAGTTACCACCCGGACAAAGTTCAAAGTGTAAAAAATGATTATATCCCCGGACAAAGTTCAAAAAGTGTAAAATGGACAAAAGGGGCCCAAAAAAATAACTCCCAAAAATTTAGGCAAGACAGAGGGTTATGTTCCCTTTGCAATGCACTTCTACCCCAATATTTGGATCTAATCTACCTAAAAGTTTTCATGTTGAATCATCTTGTTGTTTTAAAGTTATGTCCCGGACAAAAATAGCGGACGGACGGACAAAGCGGCGACTGTACGCTCACCCTACGGTGAAAATAAAAACAGATGTCTTAGAATATTATAATTAACAATATAGCCTAAAGCATTTACAATGAATGGACAAGGCAACTATCTGACTTTATTATACCTCCTGAAAACTTTTTACTATATAGCCTATTGTGTCCACTTTTTCATGCAACATTCCACTGGGGCGAGTAATCTATATATACTATAGAAAACTTTAATGTTCCAGTTCTCTTCCAAGGCGGCAATCACTGATGAATGGCCCTCTGAGTAATGAAAGCCATACCAGAGAAAAATTACATTATTTTACTCCTTGGATGTTATTTCAGTTCTCTGGTTGCTAATATGCACTATTACCATGAGAAACACATGTTATTTTTTATAAACAGCAAATCTCTCAAAAATTTCCTGAAAAATGCATGAAAAAAGGTTACCTTGAAAGCATTTGTCCATCAGAAAAGCTTAACAGTCACCATATGACCCCTTTACAGTGCAAGAGTATCCAAACCTAAACGAAAAGTAAATTAAACAATTTACTCCCGCAGTTTGTTTTTTTTTCTAAAATTAGAAAAAAAAAGAAGAGAGAGTGTAACAATGTTAATTTGATAAAAATTCGCCAGGTAACTATATGTAATTGGGCCCTTCTAACTTGATGTTGTGCTTCTCCACTAGCACCAAAAATATCCTCTTGCCAAAATCTTATTTTTTACTAGCATATCTTCATAAATATAAAACCTCTCATCAGTGTTTTCCACATTCAACCTGTAATTTCACAAGGAAATTTCTCCTGGTCACTTTTTGACAACTCAAAAATTTAGAAATCTGGCATACCATTTTGTTAGTATGCCAACCCTTGTTAAACATTTTGAGCACGGTCCTGAGTGATAATTGGTGACCCCAGAAGCCCCATGCCTCAAAGGTAACAGGAAAAGATAATAATCTTGTGTTGATCACCAACCCATAACCTTGATATCCATAGTCAAAAATTATCAAGCATTTTCATTATTTTCTATTACAGTTCCCGTCCTTCACCTTGAAATGCCATGCATGTGCAGATCTAATTTCATTACTGCTGGTGATATAAACTTCGCAAGATGGGTCTACATGTTTCTTTAAATTAATTATCTGGATTTACCAAAAACCCTATAACAGTAACTTTCTGCGGGTTTCGGTAAAAATAGATTTTGTCAAGCACCATTTTTCGAAGTTATGCTAAGGACATTCCTCAAATTTAAGGACAGCCACATCTAAATGCTCATTAAAGTACACACAAGTTACTTTGGATACTTTCCTTGGCTTGTCAGTTATTAATTCATTAAAATTCACATACACACTATCAGATGTCAGTTGTGACCAATCAAAGTTGCCATTCTCATTTGGACCATTTTTATCTGAAACAAAAATACTTACAAGAATAAAAGACAGTATAATGAATTTCAGACTCCACTTTTGTTACATGGATATATGGCAAATGATAACAAGAGGGCCATGATGGCCCTGAAATCGCTCACTTGTATAAAGGCCCAGTGGGGTGGGGCCAATTTTAACCCAGAAGCTTTTATTTGAACAAACTTGGTAGACACCCATTTGAAGATGTTTCATGATAAATATCTAAGCTCTAGCTGTAAGAAGATTTTTTAAAGTTTTTACTGAAAAACAATGATCCCACCTCTGGGCAGGGCCAATTTTGTCCCCAGGGCTTTTATTTGAAAAACTTGGTAGTCACTCACTAGAAGATAGTTCATGCTTAATATCAAAACTCTAGCTCTTTTTTTTTTAAGTTTTAACTTTATACATATAAGGAAAATCAATGATCCCAGGGCAGGGTCAATTTTAACCAAGAGGGCCCTTATTTGAAAATAATGGCAGACACCTATTAGAAGATGTTTCATGATAAATATCTTAGCTCTAGCTCTTAGTTTTTTTTAAGAGAAGATTTTTTAAGTTTTTACTATATACATAAAGGATAAAACAATGACCCCCTGGGGCGGGGCCAATTTTGACTCCAGGGCTTTCATTTGAACAAACTTGGTAGACACCCACTAGAAGATGTTTCATGCTTAATATCTAAGCTCTAGCTACATGTATTTGGGCTTTTTAAAAGAAGATTTTTAAAGTTTTTACTATATACATATAAGGAAAATCAATGATCCCTGGGGCAGGGCCAATTTTAACCCCAGGGCCCTTATTTGAACAACACTGGTAGACACCTATTTGAAGATGTTTCATGCTAAATATCTTAGCTCTAGCTATTAGGGTTTTTTAAGAGAAGTTTTTTTTAAGTTTTTACTATATACATACAGGAACAAACAATGACCCCCTGGGGCAGGGCAAATTTTGACCCCAGGGCTTTTATATGAACAAACTTAGTAGACACCCACTAGAAGATATTTCATGCTTAATATCTAAGCTCTAGCTTTTTGGGCTTTTTAAAAGAAGATTTTTTAAGTTTTTACTATATACAAATAAGGAAAATCAATGACCCCCCGGTATGGAATGATATTGAGGTAAAAATTACACAATGCCTGCTTACTGTTACAATTTACTTATTGACACTGCTATTGTGCTTATTGGTACAGTCACTATGCATGCTTGTACTTTCATCACGCTTGTTGACACATTACACACTGCCTGCTTACTGTTACAACTTACTTCATCGACACTTCTATTGTGCTTATTAATTACATGTCATTATGCATTGCTTGCACTTTCAATCATGCTTGTTGACATGATATCATGCTTGATGGAAGTTACAACTTGTTTGGTGTTTAGTCTCTGATGCCTTTTTCATATTTTCATTTGAGTGAATGACAGTACAATCTAGCGCTGCTGTGCAATGGTTATCTTGGTTAATTTGTAATGCATCCAAGAACAAATACACGAAGTGAATCAACCAGTATGGAAAAATGTTATTAGGCACTAGGCAAAATATAACTAAGCATAATGTCATTTCAAAAATTATGAGTCACATTTGATAACAGGGCGGCGCTATGTTCTAGTGTGTTTTTCAGTAATTTGAATAATTTTTTCCCGGAAAGATCTATCGTGAATATCCGAATAAGGTATAGAAAGATCTATCAATAGTTTACTTCCCCTTACTTTTCAATTTGCCTTTTGTCGTAACTTTTATTTAGCAAAAAGATTTCAAATAGGACTGTTCGGTCACTTCTTTTACCCCTTAGCATTGACTTAATTGTCTTATGCATGCCATATCGTCCAAATTATATGCCATAACAATTTAACATTGACTCATTGCTTTCAAAATTTTTTACTGTAAGTTTTATGCCAACTGGAATTAGTCAGTAATGATGATGGTACATCTATTTAAGTAATTTGATTTGATTTAGGGGCCAGATTTAATTTTAGCGTCGCCCTTCTTAACATCTCGTTTGCTTAAATTAAATTGTTTTTCTTAGAAATGGAGGACTTTGCGGTTTGAAATTCCACGAAATTAAGGTTGGGGGGAAATCCCCCGGATCCGGGATCGTATTAGATATAGAGGGAAAACTAAATATACTATATTTGAGCCGCGTTTCAGCGGACAAAACCAACGTAATGCCTTTGCGACCAGCATGGATCCAGGACCAGCCTTTCGCATTCCGCCCAGTCTCTGAATTAGGCATCCATTGCCGTTGGCGTATCAGTTTCTCTACTTTGCTATAGGGTTTGTAAGCGATACAGCATGGATCCTGGATCAGACTGCCGGAATGCGCAGACTGGTTGTTTAATACGGATCCCAGCTTTTCTTTGAAAACTATATTCTTTGAAACTTGGTCAATTCCGGGATCCCTATATGTTTTATAGATCCCGGCTTTTCTGAAAACTTTATTCTTGAACTGGTCAATTATCCGGGATCCCTATATGTTAAAATACCGTCCCGGCATTATCTGAAAAAAATATCTTCTCTAGGACTGCGTCAATTTCCGGGATCCCAAATATGTGTAAGTACGATCCTGGCTTTTGCCCCTAGTTTTTATTTCTTTGAGTACCCCCCCCCCGTCCCCCTGTTCTGCTGTCCCTTCCCATGTGCCCTTTCGACTGTTGTTGGGCATGTTGTTCTATTATTTATTTTGTTTTCTTTGAATTCCTTATCTGTTACAAATTATGTATCATTTTAGTGATTTAACCTGTCCGTTCCCTGGGCGAAATGTTACAAATTATGTATCATTTTAGTGATTTAACTGGTCCGTGCCCTGGGCTCCTTGCCCAACTTCGGTTCTTGTTGCTAGGTCGTAGTGCGGGTTGCGTTCTTTGAGTGGTCACCTTTCCTTGTTTGATCTTTTTTATCATATTTATCTGAAAAAAAACTGGTCAATTTCCGGGACTTCCTATATTTTTTTATACGATCCCGGCTTTACTGGCTGAATTGATTCACAACTCTTTTGTCTGTGAAAAAAATACGTTATTTTTAAAGATTTTTTATAACTACATGTACTACAAATCAAACTTATTTAGAAATCTCTACAAAAACATTCAAATGATAATAATAATAATAATAATAATAATACACCGAGAGTAGGTGGTCAAATCCCGGGATTAATATAATTATGTTAAATACGATCCCGGATCCCGGCCTTTCTATCTAATTAATGGTGTAATTGAAACAAAGGGACACAACTGATGGCAACAGCTAATTAAAGTCCGGCATATTCCGCGAAAACTACGAACGTGCGCCCCCTGGTATCAAAATGTGATGTGCAAATTTGCAGTTCACATTATGCTTACTTTCAACTTGCTTAGTGGCTGATTTGCATCTTTCATTGTGTGTGGTCACATCGTATGTTTTGTTCTAGGAGCATTATAACTGTGCAATGTTTGAAATATTAAGCTTATATACAGTCCCGCATGTCTGAAATAATCATTAACGCTACATTTGCACTGTCATTCAGCCATATAGACATCAGGGACTAATATATAAACACCAAACAAAGTTGTAACTTCCAGGCAAGCATGGTATCATTGTTCAACAAGCGTGAATTTAAAGTGCAAGCATTATGCATAATGACTGTACCAATAAGCACAATAGCAGTGTCAATGAGTAAATTGTAACAGTAAGCAGGCAGTGTGTAATTGTCAACAAGCGTGATGAAAGTGCAAGCAGGCATTGTGTAATTTTTACCTCAATATCATTCCATACCCCGGGACGGGGCCAATTTTGACCGAAGGACATTTATTTGAATAAACTTGGTAGACACTGACTAGTTGATGTTTTATGCCAAATATTTAAGCTCTAGCTTTTTCAGTTTTCTACAAGAAGATATTTTAAGTTTTTTCTTTTGGTTGCCATGGCAACCAGAGTTCTGCTTGGAATTATATTCTTTGAACAATTTTCAAAGGTGACTACAAAAGGAACATTCCTGTGAAGTTTGGATGAAATTGTCGTATCTGTTTATGAGGAGATGTCGTTTAAAGGAAAAGTTCACGGAAGGACGCCGGACGAAAAGCGATCACAAAAGCTCATGATGTCATTTTGTGACAGGTGAGCTAAAAAATAACAAGGACTGCCACTGTCCTGATGAAAATGTCAATCAGATATTATGATCAAAGGATTTTATGAAGTTTCATGTTGATACAAAATATTGCCTCAAAAACTATTCTCCCAACAAAAATTAAGTATGAACAAGATTGCATTTGTGAAAATGCCACCACAATCATAATAGTAGTGTAGGAACAGAAGATGTTGTATTTGTTTCTATACAATTGAACTTTGCCATAATGCAGTTCAGTCTAGTATATTTGGAGGTCAAGGTCATATTTCAGTGTGTCAAATGAATGACAATGTGCAGATGTGTCTAATGTTCAGACACAAAGGCCATAGTGCAATAACTGATTCAAAATAAAAGTATTCATTCTTGACAAAAATTTAGGTACATGTATTTACTGTATCGCATAGCTGTATGAAACTTGAAATACAGTTTCCAATTAAGCATTACCTATTTCTGCAAACATAAAAAACATGTTTCGATTTAAAATCATCATTATATATATGGGTGTGAATCATAATGCTCAAATTATTTCATAAATGCCCCTGCAAAGCAAACATTTCTCTTGCTAGAGGTTGTGACTTTTACATTAACTCCCAGCTTAGAAAAATTGCATAACATGTACACATGTATAAAAGACATTCCGATATGATTTGTGTCCTTTCATTATTCAACTATAATTTTTAGAAAACCAAAAATCTCTTAGGACAGGGTCATTTTTGAACCCAAAGCTATAATTTGAACAAGGACAGACTGATTTGTGTTTATTACAAGAATTTGAACCATGTTGGTCACTAAGACCATACTTCATGCAAAATATATTTTTTAATTATCCTATAAACATTTTCTTAATGTCATAGCTGTACATCAAAAATAAGAAAGGCCATTAGGTCAATATCTAGCTCATT